TGTCCCGGGAAGGTTTTCTGGGGACATGATTTCTTGGGGTGTGTTGGGGGGCCTCTTGGGCGTTCCCTGGGAGCCCCTTGGGGGTCTCTTAGGGCTTCCTGGGGGCCTCTTGGGCGCCTCACGGGGCTTCGTGGGAGCCTCTTGGTGGCCTCTGGGGGCCTACAGGCGGCCTCTAGGGCCAAAGACCTCGAAATATCGGTTGGCGGTCCCCCTCTGGGCCCTCTCTTGGGGAGCTCTTGGGGCACAGTTGGGTTGTCTGGGGAGCATCCTGGGCCGTCTTGGGGCCTTCTTCCAGGCCTCGAAGCGGGGGAAGCGAGAACGCCTAAATCCTTCAAAAACCATCGGAAAATTAGTGAATCTTGCCTCCCAGGGCCCTATTGGGGAGCCTCTTGAGTCCGTCCTGGAGCGTGTTGGAGTCCTCGTCGGCCGTCTTGAGGGCATCTTGGGCGTCTTCGGGGCCTCTTGGGACCGTCTAGGGCCCTCCCGGGACCTCCATTAGCCTGTCGTGGCCTGCTTCGGGGCGGGCCCAGGCCGCCTCGGGGCCTTCTATTGGCGCGCTCTTGGGGCACACTTGGGTTGTCTGGGGAGCATCCTGGGCCGTCTTGGGGCCCTCGTCGGGGCCTCGTGGGCCTTCCTGGAGCGATCTGAAGGGCCTCCGAGGCCGTGAGGGAGCGCTGGGAAGCGGGGGAAGCGAGAACGCCAAAATCCAAAACACTTGGAAAACGAGCGAATCTTGCCTTCCAGGGCCCTCTTGGGAAGCCTCTTGAGTCCGTCCTGGAGCGTGTTGGAGTCCTCGTCGGCTGTCTTGAGAGTATCTTGGGCGTCTTCGGGGCCTCGTGGTCTGCTTCGGGGCGGGCTTGGTCCGCCTCGGGAGCTCTGGACCCACCCCCGCAACCCCTGGTGGGCACCGGGCACCGTTGGGGGGAACAGGCAGCGGCCCGCCCCCCCCCCCTCCCCCTGGGCCTACTCCGAGATAGAGAATCATGTTCCCGGGAAGCTTTCCGGGAGCATGATTTGTTCGGCTCTCTAAGAGAGGGGCCTCTGGGGGCTTACCGAGGGGCGCCTGTTGGCCTTGTCGGCAAGCCTATTGGAAACATGGTTGGGGCGGTGGGCGGAAGCCCAAGGAATCATGTCCCCGAAAAGCTATCTGGGAAATACGATTTACCGAAGTGTCTTGGGGGCCCGCAGGGGGCTTCCTGGGGGCCCCTTGGGGGCCTATGGGGCTTCCAGGGGGCCTCTTGGGAATCTCACGGGGCTTCTTGGGAGCCTCTTGATGGCCTCCGGGGGCGTCCTAGGAGCCTCTCAGGCCGAAGACCTTGAAATGTCGCGCTCTTCGGGCCCTCTTGGGTCGCTCTTGGGGCTCTCTTGGGGCGCTCTCGAGGCCCTCTTGACTTATCTGGGGAGCCTCCTGGGCCGTCTCTGGGCTTTCTTGGGAGCCTCTTCGGCCGTCTTGGAGCGATCTGAAGGGCCGCTGACGCGGTCGGGGACCGTGGGGAGGCGGAACATGGGAGAGCGCAAGAGTGCTCCAAAAACCATAGGAAAATGCATGGTTTCCGGCTCCTGGGGCCCTTTGGAGGGGCCTCTGGAGGCGCTCTTGGGGCGTTTTGGCGGTGTCGTCGGCCGTCCTGAAGCCATCTTCGGCGTGCCTGGGGCCTCTGGGGGCTGTCTTTGGGCGTCCTGGGAACCTGGGAATCATGTTCGGAGGAGAGGCTTCCAGGAAAATGATTTCGAACGAGGCCCTCTTGGGCCTCCCTGAGGCCGTCTTGGGGGCCTCCTGGGCCGGCTTTGGGGCCTCTTGGGCCGTCTTGGGAGGTTCCGTGAGCCCCACAAAACGACTCTTTTGGGCTGTCTTGGGCTCTCTTGGGTCTCTCTTGGGCTGTCTTGGGGCTCCTCAAACGCGTCTGGGGCACTGCGAGGACGAAGCAAGGGAGTATGCTGAAAATGTACGTTTTACTACGGGAACGGGCTGATTTTTGCCTCTTGAAGGCCCTCTTGGGGCCCTCTTCGGACATCTTTAAGCCATCTCGGGCCCTCTTGTGCCTCGCTGAGGCTGTCCCGGGGCCCTCTAGGGGGCCCTGGGACCCCTGAAATCATGTTCCCAGAGAGGCTTCCGGGAACATGATTTCGAACGGGGCCCTCCGGCTTCGGGGCCTCTTGGGACATCTTGGGGGGTTCCGTGAGCCCCACAGGCCGACCCTCTTGGGCCGTCTGGGGCCCTCTTGGGTCTCTCTTGGGCTGTGTTGGGGCTCTGGGGCACTGTGAAGACGAAGCCAGCGAGTATGCTGAAAATGTACGTTTTACTACGGGAACGGGCCGATGTTTGCCTCTTGAAGGCCCTCTTGGGGCCCTCGTCGGCAATTTTCAAGCCATCTCGGGCCCTCTGGGGCCTCGCTGAGGCTGTCTTGTGGGCCTCTTGGGCGTCAGGGGAGCCCTGAAGTCATGTTCCTGGAGAGGCTTCGAGGAACATGATGTCGAGCGAGGCCCTCTTGGGCCTGCCTGAGGACATCGCAGCGCAACATCGTCATGACGCGTCGTCGCTAGCTCGAGGGCGCGTCACCAGCATCGCCATCATCGCAACCATCGTCCCACCCAACCCCCCAGCCTCCTTATCACCCGAAGGGTGGTCGTTATGGCTTCTGCAATCTTCTAGAGGCCCCCTCCTCCCTGCTCGAAGCACTCCGCTTTGCGTGCATCGCCCCGCCCCCACCCCCTCTTCCGAGGCTTCCTTGGCGCCACGACGCCTCCCCGCCGCTCTCCAAGGCGTCCAGGATGCCCAGGGTGGCTTTCGAGACGGCCCCGGCAGGCCACCCAGGCCGTCACGATGGCCCAAGATGCCGCCCAAACGGCCCAAGATGGCCCCATGACGGTTCAGGACGTCCTCAATAACTACGGCCCAAGCGGGCTCCATGATTACCTCCAGGACTCCAGGAGGGCTCGACGATGAACACATCATTGATCTTCCTCCATTTTTTGAATGATGCTCGAGTTCTCGCCTTTGCGGGTTTCTGCCGGTCCAAGAGGCCTCCGGTATGGCCCCAAGACGGCCTAAGAGTCCTCCAAGATGGCCCCGAAACGTCCCAGGGCGGCCCCAAGACGGCCCAGAGAAGCCCCCAAGACGGACTCCGGGGGCGCCAGGCTGCCCAAAAGCGCCTCCAGACTTCCGAAAGCGCCCCCAGGAGGCTCCCGGGGGCCCCCAAGACGCCCCCTAGAGGCCCTCCAAGAGGCCCCCTTCAGGCCCCCCGAGAGGGGGAGGAGGGAAGAAGGGGAATGGAGGAAGATGGCGACGAACACGACCAGAGACACCCCGACACGCGGAAGAAGAGCGCATCAAATGCATACTACGACTCTCACGAGCCTCGGAAGACGACGCGTCGCACGTGACAATCGGGTTTCCTGCGCGCTTCCCGAGCAGTCGCCACCCAGGAGAGCTGGGCCGTCGCGGCGGCGGGACCTGGCCGCAGGCGGCTGCCTAGGTCAGGAACTCCTTCTGCGCGAACCCGTAGCTGACGATGCCCTCGAGCAGGCGCAGCAAAGGGTCGTAGAAGCCGCCGGTGTTGAGCACGCCGACGGGGCGCTCGTGCCTCGCCAGCGTGGCGCCGGACACGACCTCGAGGAGCTCCTCTGGGACCACCCCGCCGACGCGGACCTCTCGACAAAAACCAGGATGTTGGAGGTCGTTTATTTTTCGGCGATGTCCCGGGGTATCCAGTGGGGTGGGGGTGGGGGGTGGGGAGAGAGGTGACGGGCGCTAACCAGTCTATTTCGGTGCGGGCAACCCCACGAATGCCCGCGCGCACCTGTACTGCGTACCCCTTCGGGCGTGTGCCACCGAGAAACTCAGGTTGTCCGGGGGGGGGGAGGGGGCGGGCGCGGTAACCCAGCTTATCGCCGGAGCCTTAAAACACAGGCTCTTGGCTCCTGCCGCGCTCTCCATTCCTCGTTCTCTCTCGCACTCGAACCTGCCGAGCACCAGACAGCTGGGGGGCGCAAGGCAGGGAGACCCGCGCCCCCAGGAAAATGGGACCTGGCGGGCAGTTTCAAAAAGTGTCGGCTTCGCAGTGTCCTGGTTTCTGGGCCCAAAGCTCCGACGTCGCTTGTCTATCGCAACATCGACCCCCGCAGGTCTGGACCCCTTACCCTGGACCACTTTTCCTCCCGGGCTGTTTTCTGACGGTATGAAAGCCTGCTGAGAGCCCCTGGTGGCTGAAAGCTGCAAACAAAAACTCCCACAACGATTTTTCGCAACGGAAAAATGGTGTGACCCCTTCCCCATGGGGTCGTCTTTCGTACCCGATCCATGTTTGACGGTCCCTGGGCCGACAAACGGCCCCCGGAAGCCGCAACAGAGGAAAAACGCCAAGACCTAGAAAACCATATCGTCGGATCTCTGGGTTTGCATGGTCCTGGTTTCGGGAGCCCAGATCGGCTGCACTCAGCAGTGACCCTGGGCAAGAGCGCCCTTTGTCCTTTGGAGCGCGGCTTGCCGACCGTCGCATGCGATGCGACAGCAGTGGCTCGCGTTCTTGGGCGTGGCCTCCACGCGCAACCCGAAAGCCGCACACCGAAGCTCACTCTGGCGAAGGGCCATTCGGCTTTCGGGTCCTAGCTCGGGTCTCCGGCCGCCGTTCGGGACGAGTCGGGCACACCAGAAACGCTATCGGCAAGGCGAAGGTGATGCCCGAGAGAAAACGTGTTACGCGCAGCCCGTCTGATTGGACGTTGCTCACTTGGGGGCGGAAAGACGTGCACCTTTCGCGCCCCTTTCGGGCCCCAAAAGGGCCCCGAGGTGTACCTCTCTCTCCCCCCCTCATCTAGCGCCTCCCCTTTACACAGCGCCCGACTCTGATCCTCCATCACGGCGACACCTCCGGGCACCGCGGCCACGCGCGCGCTGCGCTCGAGGAGCTCGCGCTTGCGCGCGTGGCGCGGGTGCTCCGCGCCGTTGCCGCGCTCCGCGGGCACCCCGGGCGCGGCCCGCTCGGCCACGCCCTGCACGCGCCCGCCCGCGGCGGCGGCCCCTGCGGCGACGGCGTGCGCGAGGGAGCCTGAGATGGCCAGGCGCTGCAATGTTGTCACGCCCGGCCTCTTCTGAGATGCCTCCCGCATGGGGTCCGAGCAGATGGGGTCGGCGGATCGCGCCGCGTCGCCGATGCCCGCGATGCGTCGGCGAAATCGGCGGTGCATTGGCGATGTCGGCGTGGAGGAATCGGGTGAAATCGGCGATGCGGCGCGATCCTCCGATCCCATCTGCTCGGACCCCATCTGCGAGGCCTAGAGCAACACGCCCAGCGCTTTCGCCCGATCTCGGGCGCCAGCGCCCTCAATGACAGATCAGTCCCGCTCGAAAGACGCCGCAGGAAGATGGGATCTGGGTCCAAGGCTCCCGACCGTGACCCCACCCTGTGGTGTTGGGTCCTCGTATTGAAAATGCCCCGCATCTCCTTCCTCTTCCTCTCCTCCTCCCCCTCCTCCCTCTTCCCATCCCTTCCTGTGCCCTCCACATGTCCGCGTCGGCGCGCCTCTCACACGTTGCGTGGCCACACAGGGAGCTCCACCGAGTGCTTCTGTGGCAGGGTCCGCATGCGCCCCCCTGCCGCAGATTTCGGCACACCACTCACACGCTTCATGGCCCCGAAAGGAGCTCCACCGAGAGCTCTTGCGGCAGGGTCCACATGCGTCCCCCGGCCCATTTCGGGAGCCCACTCACACGTTTCGTGGCCTCACTAAGAATTTCACCGAGGGGTCCTGTGGCAGGGTCCGCGTGCATCCCCAGTTCATCTCGGCACACCCCGCACACGTTTCGTGGCCCCAGAAGGAGCTCCACTGAGGGCTCCTATGGCAAGGTCCGCATGCGTTACCGGCTCATTTCGGCTCACCCCTCACACGCGTCGTGGCCCCACCCGCTACCGTGCCGCTGGGCACGGAGTGGGCGCATCATCAGGTCATGTGCTGTATCCTCTAAGCGTCAATCCTCACTCTGGAGGAATCTCTAATGGGGCCGGAGCCACAATTGCCAAATCTCTTTGAGATCTGCGCGTTGTGTCGCAGTTTCTCGCGTGATTTCTTGGAGCCAAGAAGGCCTCAAGACGGGCCGAAAGACCCCCAAAAGACCCCCAAACCGGCCCAAGAGGAACCCGAATCGCCGAGCGATCGCTCCAAACGCTTAGGATGGACCCCAGACGACCCAAGAGGCATCCAAGACGCCCCAAGAGACCTCTAAGAGGCCTCCCAAAAAAACAAAACCAGTGATTTCCTATAAACTTGTGAACGTTATAGGCGTTCTCGCTTTTTCGGCTTACCGACGCTCCCAGAAAGTCCTAAAGGCCCCCAGGATCGCCCCAAGACGCTCCCAAGAGAGCACCAAAACTGCCCAAGAGGGTCCCAAAACGGCCCAAGAGGCGCCCAAGACGACCCAAGAGGCGCCCAAGACGGCCCAAGAGGCCAAAATGACGGCCCAAGAGAGGCCCAGATCGGGGACCCGAGCGGACAGTACGAGCCTTCGGCCCCGAAGTGCCCCAGGAGGCCCCAAAGAGGCCCCCATGGGGCACCAAAATTGCCCCCAAGAGGCACCCGAGAGCGCTCTGGAGAGACCCACGAGAAACATCCCTGAAAACTCTAGCCGACAACGCGGTGGCGGCATGGGCCGAAGGCTACTAATACCCGCCGCCCCGTGTGGTTTTGCCGCACGATGCTAGACCCACTGGTTCGGTGCTTGGTTTTTTCCTTATTAGCTCTCCTCTGGGGTTTCGGCCCGCCCCGCCGGCCACCCGAAGACCGCGCCGCCGCAACCCGTGGCTCCAAAAACGGCCGTTGCGCTCGGGGCGTCAAAAACAAAATCGCGACCTTGGGGATCATATCCCGAGACGCCTTACGATAAGAATGGGCGTTTCGCCCAAGACGGCGCCAAGATGACGGCAGACGGGCCAAGAGACCCTCGAAAAGCTACCAAGACGGCCCAAGAGGCCTCCAACAGGTTCTTCAGGAAGGCCCGAGGAGGCGAGAACACCCACTATCATTCCTCCGCCTGCGGGCGTTCCCGCGCTGGTCGCGCGATGACTCGCATAATCAGACCATGGCAAGCGGGTCGCCGCATTGCCGCGGAGGCGCGGGCGGGAGGGTGGGCCAGAGACTTGCCAGTGAAAGCCTCCTGGCCGCATAGCTCGTTCCTTGCGAACCTTCGGTGTTTGCCTCGGAGCAAAACCCTACAGGAATGCCCGTTCAACGATTCGAGGCAAGGTTGCGAGCGGATGGGGCGATTCGTCGCTTTCCTTCGGACCCAAACCCTGCCTGCACTCTGTGCCCGTGCCCGCCGACGAGTCCCGAGGGACCGAATATTACTATGAGCAGGGCCCGTGCCCGATCACGCGGAACGGACGAAGGAAAGTCAGAGGGAATACGATCATGCTCCTGCAAATGCAACGTCCACATCGCAAACGCTGCTCTGCTACAGCCCCCTTTTCTCTACCTGGCTGCTCCAATACCGTGCTACGTTCCCCCACTCGTATAACGCGCGCGTACGTTGCCCGCGGGGCAAAATCATTGGTTTGCCCTAGGCGTTCGAATGATTCGGGCACTTGCTGTTTTTTTGTTCGGCCTTCCGACGGCCCGAGACGGCCCAAGAGCCCCCGACGATCACCCAAAGATCGCTCAGGAGGCCTTCGAGATGGCCCCAAGACGGCCTCAGAGGCCTCCAAAACGCCTCCAAGACGCCCGCGTTGGCCTCCAAGACGGCCCTGGAACACTCCAAGAGAGCACCAACTCGGCCCAGAGAGGCAGGCCCCCAAGACGGCTGCTTCCGACGGGCCAGGGCGCCACCATGACGGCCCAAAATGGCTTCAAGATGGTCCAAGAGGCCCCCCAAGAGGCCCGCCGGAGATGTCCACGCGGCCCGAGAGGACTCTAAGAGGTCCTCCAGGAAGGCCGGAAGAGGCCAGACCCATGTACTTTCCTTAGATGCTTGGCAGAGTTGGACTTGCTTCTCTTCGGCCTTCCGACGGCCTGAGACGGCCCAAGAGCAGCCAAATATCGCCCGACAGGCCTCGTGGATGGGCTCAACGGCCCTAGAGGCCCCCAAAAGGGCCCCAAGACGGCCCAAGAGGCCTCCGAGACGCCCAACATGGCCTCCACGACGGCCCCGGGGCCAGGAGGGCTCCAAGTCGGTCCAGAGAGGCCCCCAGGACGGCTTCAGACGGCGTCTGTCAGACGCGCCAAGAATGCACCAAGACGGCCAGAAAATGCCCCTCGGACACCCCCAAGGGGCCCCAAGACCGCCCCGAGAGGCTCCCAATATGCCCGCTCCTCATCCTCCTCTTCCTCCTACGACTTGCCAAGTTCCCAGCGGGGTCTCAAGTCCAACCGGCCTTCGCAAGATGCCCGTCGCTTTGCGGGCCTACTCGTGCGAGGCTGGCCGTGGCCGTCCGCGCACGCGGACTTCCGCGCTTCTCGCGCTCGAGCGCCAAGCCTCGCCACCTCTTCTTCTGGGGGCGGGGGGGGCGGGCGCTCCTCGAATTTACTGCTACGCGGCGTCGTTCGGGGGTCGGCGCCAGGGTGATCGAACTATAGCGCACCAGATGGAACCAAGCTGCATCGGGCACACAGGACAGCGAGCATCCTCGCCGACAAACCCTCTAGCATAACATCGCCACCCATGTTTCCTCATATTATGGGAGAGCAGAGCTTGGCGGGCGGCAAAGGGCGCAAAGGGCGGAAGAGGAGACGCACCCGAGTCACGACGCACCTCGCGCGCGCAAGGACACGAATGAGGAGGAGAAGCGGCAGCAGGGGCCGAGTCGGCCGCCGAGTCGCTAAAACAAAACAACAGTTTCCGCGCCAGCGGGCTCCACGGATGAAATCGCCCCAGGCCCTCGGATAGCCCCGGGGATCGGGGAGAAAAAACTCCGAATGCCGAATCACTTTCTGACGCAGCAATGCTAGGCCACTGAGAATTTGACGAGTCCACGGGAGACGCCCACCTTTCACCTGCACGTGCAATAATGCATGAAGCTCCACTGGGCCATGCAGCAGCAAACGTCTTAGATGCACAAGCCTGGCTCTCTGCAGGATGCAATCGATTGGCGGCGCGCTCATCTTCTCTCTAACCGCGCAAGCACGATGCTCAACGCGTCGATAGCGCGACTCACCAACAATCACACGTAGAGGACGCATCATGGCGATATTCAGCGCGCGAATGCACTGACGGCTCGGCACGGCGATATGAGCGTTGAAGAACAAGCGCGTGAACAGCAATGCATGCATTGAATGAAGCTCCACCCAATCGCGAATGACCAGCGAGCCGAACACCCTAGAGGCCAACGGAGAATAAGCAGCAAGCATTCACCCATCCTTATGTCTGGCGTCTGCCATGCAATTCCTGCGAAGAAAAAGCATCGAGCCTAGGTGCTTATACTTATCGACTGCCAACGACCTCCTGTAACTGCCTGGCACATGGAACGAGAAAGAGCGTTCAAAAATGTGGGGCTCAAAAATATTGCGGCTCTTCTGGCCGCGAAACTGGACCGACGCTTCCGTTGCCGCGGGGCCAGTTGATCTCGAGACTGAATGAAGAGAACGATTCAACCAACGCGCTCAACAGCCTCGGAATGCTTCCACTCAATCTCTGAGCCGTGCTACACACAAGCATGATGCATTCACCATCCACAAAGGCACAATCTGCGATACTGCAGGCGCGCTCGTAAGCCGCGAACCGATCCGACCAGAACTCGCCCACGGGGGCCTCAGGCGCCAAAGTTAAACCTTCGCTCTTCAAACGGGCCTGCTTCGCGCGCAATGCAATGGAATACGAAGCGTTGAAAAACCATCGCTCCTACCATGCACCCCTGGGCCCGCCCCCCCCCCCCCCCCCCGCGCGCGCGCGCGCGCGCCCGCCCCCTCCCGCCCACCCACCCCGCCCCCAGCCGCGAGCAAACTATCTCGCCCAGCGATACTATGATGAACCGCGAATTCGAGCGCGGCGAACAAAGGAGCTCACGCGCGCATGAGTCTACGTGCCACTGGTCCAGGAGGGGTCTTTTCCTTCGATCAGCTG